CCCCAAAACCCCAAAACCCCAAAACCCCTATGGTTATTATAAGGATAGAAAAATCTATAAACCACCCACCGCTCAGAAAAGTCGATTTGCTCGTTTTTATTATTATTCTAATAATTTTATTTTTCTTGTATTGGCTTTAAAGCTCACTCTCTGAAGGTAGAGCTAAAATTAAAATTTTCCCTTTTAAAATTAGAGATAATTTTTCAAAAAAGTGATTATTCTCAGGGATGTCATGAATATTTCAAATGCTAATAATCTTCTTACCGGAAGAGATTATAACTGAATGTCAATCGTTGCAAAATAATAAGGAAAACACATTGTAAGCTTAATGGATAGTGCTTTATATGCTTTAGAAAGCTTCTAGCCCTTTTCAACTCTCTTTTCAACTATGCTATTAATGCAAGTACTGACTCAACTGGGATGTAATTAACCGAATTATAATAAACCCTTCAGGCCATTATAAGACTCACTCTAAAGGATCTGCAATCATGTTCCATTTGATCTTATCCATCTCTTCTATTGAAGAGAAGTAGAATATTAATTTTAATCTTTTTTCTGAGGTTATGACATTTTTAGGAATATATATTATGAATTTCCATTATTAATGTCTAATGGAAGAACTGTGAATTCATCGATTTTGCTTTCAACCATCCTAGAGGCTTCTTTATTAGTTTTAAAGTTCAAGGCAAAAATAAGTAAACTTTCTATTCCAAACTCTGCGGATTTATTAAAAATATTAGCCTACCCTTTTGATTCAAATCCATAAGTCGCAACAAAGAAATTAATGAGTTTATCATTGCAAATAAGTCCCATGTGTGACAGCTTAATTCAATTCTGAAATTTTATACGAGTCCTTAGTTAACCCGAACACTCCTGCTACAAATTTCAGAATCGAAAAGTTTGATTAAATACGGATATTATAAATAGTAAACCATGAAGTTGTGAAAAGAGCGATATTTTGGATGAAGGAATAAAGATTTTATGCCCTAATCACCTATTTTCCATATATAATTATTACTCCCTTCTACCTACTTCATAAAATGTGTGTGATTTTTCATATCCCTTAATTACACGATAATGCCTAACTAAAGTGCTATAGCCCTCTCCGAAGATGACTTTTAGCATTAAAGTAAGCCCTTTAGTTCTTTAATCTATACTACACTTTGAAAATTCGAACTAATAGTGGTGTCCAATATGGTTGTAAAAAGTGCCAAAAGCTCAAGTAGATATTTTGAGATTATTAATAATAATTACGGAAATTATTACAGATTAGCAGTGAATATTTTTGGTACAAATCTTTCTTATCACTTGGACATGCATCCAAGAAATCTTCAAGTCCATTGATTATGAAATAATGGAATAACATTCCTATGTTTGAGTCACCGTAGAGACCTTCAAGTTTGCTGTGTGAGTACTTTGAGAGGATCTCATTCATTAGCAATATCGACTTATTATTAACATCGAAGAGAGACTTGGTCTTCTGAGTGTTTTTGCTCATGGCCATCCAGCAAAGGAACTCGTTCAAGTCTCCGATTTGTTCACTTTCTTCTGAATTAATAATATTAAGCCTTTGGGCTTCGTGGATCATTTCTTGTTTGAACGAGGTGTCTCTGTTCTTAAGTCTGCAAGGCCTTATTCTAATTGAATCGAACAGTTTGACGATGAATTTTTTAAACCCTCTCATGATTCTTTTATGAATTACGTCTTTACGAAAACAAAGTTCTGCGACTCCTGAATTTCTCAGAGAAGAGTCTAGAAGGCAATCAACCATCGTCGTGTAATTCTTCTTCTTTTTTTCTCTTGGAGATGAGCGAGTAGATGGTGGAGCCTTTACTGGACACTTCGTCTTTAATTTACTCTTCTCATTTTTGAGGTTTGACATGGATGATCCAAGGATATCTTCTTTTTGACTTGATGCTTTCTGGTGTTCCAAAACTTCAGGAAAATCAAAATTAATGAATTCTTGATGTTTAACAGTGTTTAAACTGTTATCATCAAATAAGGAACACTCTTCACGATTAATTGCATCTCAATAATCAACTTCGTTATCTACTAATGGCAATTTTCTATTTAACTCGCTCTTAAAATCCTCTTTATCATTGAGTCTTCATTGATCTTGCTCATTCATTAAATAGAGTTCTTCAGCGTTATCCTGAAGAAAACATAAGTCTTTTAGTTCAAAATTAGGGGTATTCAACCAGTCCATTATTATTTTTCAATTATTGGTATTACAGCTGGGGTTTTGGGGTTTTGGGGTTTTGGGG